AGTTAGCAGTACAATCATTATGAAACATAAGCTGCTGATGCTTTGGAGTGTTTGGACGGCAAAATGCTCTTACATTAGGAGCCGTTCGAAATGGCCATTCCCAGTCAAAAGCCAGCGAATGGCAGCAAAATCCCCTCCAACTTCCATCCACTGGCCTTCTCCTGGGCGTGCATATTTTTCTACTCTGACTCCACCCTTTCACTAAATTACAGGATCTGACCAGGAGATGACGCTTCTCTTTAGATATTAATGTCCACAAATCATGACAGAATGTTTTATATGTTTAAAAAGGAATTGTAGGGGAACAGCCAAAGACCACCCAAGGACCAGCAAAATAGCATGTACTTATATAGCGCCTTTTTTTCAAGTCAGGAGACTTGACCAAAGCGCTTTACACTTCATTCATTCACCCATTCACGCACACACTCACACACTGATGGTTGCAAGACACATTGTAGCCTAGCTGCCCTGTGGCTCACTGACAGAAGCGGGGCTGCCGTACACTGGCGCCAGCGGGCCCTCTGACCACCATCAGTAGACAATGCAGGTGAAGTGTCTTGCCCAAGGACACAACGACACTGAAAGTCGGAGTCGGGGCTTGAACCGTCAATCCTTCCATTTCAGGGACCAGCCAAGGGCCAACCAAGGACGAGCCAAGGCCCAGCCAAAGACCAACCAAGGACCAGGCAAGACCCAGCCAAGGACTAGCCAAGGACCAGCCAAAGTCCAGCCAAGGGCCAGCCAAAGACCAGCCAAGGACTAGGACTAGCCAAGGAAAGCCAAAGTCCAGCCATGGACCAGCCAAGACCCAGCCAAAGACCAACCAAGGACCAGCCAAATACCAGTAAAAGACTAGCCAAAGAAAGCCAAAGTCCAGTCATGGACCAGCCAAGACCCAGCCAAGGGCCAACCAAGGACCACCCAAGGACCAGCCAAATACCAGGCAAGGCCCAGCCAAAGACCAACCAAGGACTAGCCAAGCACCAGCCAAGGTCGAGCAAAGGCCCAGCCAAAGACCAACCAAGGACCAGCCAAATACCAGTAAAAGACTAGCCAAGGACTAGCCAAAGCCCAGCCATGGACCAGCCAAGACCCAGCCAAGGGCCAACCAAGGACCACCAAAGGACCAGCCAAGGACCACCCAAGGACCAGCCAAGGACCACCCAAGGCCCAGCCAAGGACTAGCCAAGGCCCAGCCAAGGACCAGCAAAGGCCCAGCCAAGGACCTGCCAAGGCCCAGTCAAAGACCAACCAAGGACCATCCAAGGCCCACCCAAAGACCATCCAAGGACAAGCCAAAGACCAACCAAGGCACAGCAAAGGACCAGCCAAGGCCCAGCCAAGGAACAGCCAAGGACCAGCCAATGGCCAACCAAGGACCAGCCAAGGACCAGCCAAGGCCCAGCCAAAGACCAACCAAGGACCAGGCAAGGCCCAGCCAAGGACTAGCCAAGGACCAGCCAACGGCCAGCCAAAGACCAGCCAAGGACTAGCTAAAGACCAGCAAAATCCCAGTCAAGGTAAAGCAAAGGCCTAGCCAAAGACTAACAAAGGACCAGGCAAATACCAGTAAAAGACTAGCCAAAGAAGACTATAGTCCAGCCATGGACCAGCCAAGACTCAGCCAAGGCCCAGCCAAGGCCCATCCAAGGACTAGCCAAGGCCCAGCCAAAGACCAACCAAGGCCCATCCAAAGACCAGCCAAGGCCCAGCCAAGGACCAGCAAAGGCCCAGCCAAGGCCCAGCAAAGGCCCAGCAAAGGCACAGCCAAGGACCAGCAAAGGCCCAGCCAAGGACCAGCCAAGGGCCAACCAAGACCCAGCCAAGGCCCAGCCAAAAACCAACCAAGTACCAACCAAGACCCAGCCAAGGCCCAGCCAAAAACCACCAACCAAGGACCAACCAAGGACCACCCAAGGCCCAGCCAAAGACCAGCCAAGAACCAGCCAAGGCCCAACCAAGGCCAAGCCAAAGACTAGCCTAGGACTAGCCAAGG